TGGCGCCCACACCCGCTCCGGCCCGAACCGCTGCCAACAAACCGGTTCCAATGGAAATCGATCGTACCCACGCCTGCGGCCGCAATATCATCTGCTACAACTGTCAGCAGCCTGGGCACATTGCGTGGAACTGTCCGGAGCCAAGAAAGAAGCGCACATTTTTCAATCGGGCCACGATGCTTGAAGAGATCGAGAATGGGGACAAGGACAACGAGTTCCTCAAGGAGATCGCCGAGAAGCTGCGCGAGAAGGGTTTTTGAAGCGCTCCACTCCTCTAGCCAAGGAGGTGGAGCGTCCGGACTATGGACGATTTTCTGTACTTGTTTCAATTAAAGACATGAACGATTCTACACATACCTACACAATCTCAGACTCACTACGTACCAATATTCACGATTTTCTCATTGCCGATATGGAAAAAGAACGACAAAGAAAAATAGCTTTAAATAGAGAATATTTACAGAGTAAAAAGGATCAGAAGGTTGCAGATAAATTAATTTTGGACTCCTACGTATTTATGGCTCGTGGAGAAGGAACCACGTCAACAAAGACCGAAAAGGGGAGCATCGCTCCGAAGGCTCAATCCTTGGAAAAGGAGGAAGCGCCTAAGGAATCTGTCAAAATCAAGGTTCCAGAAGCACCCAAACGCACCAGGGTGCCAGATGCCATCCAGAGGAAATTGGCGGCCGAGAAACAGAAGGGTCCCCAGCCCAGCAGATTGGCGCAGGAATTGCGCAGTTACCAGGCTGAAAGGAAGAGGCATTCGATGGACGTATATGTCCAGATCACGGGTCTGGACTCAGGGAAAACGCGCGGAGTCAAGGCACTACTCGATAGTGGTTGCAGTACCTGCTGCATCGATACCGACTACGCCCGGGCAGAAAAGCTGGATATCCAAGAACTTCCGCAGCCCATCGTGGCTCGTAACGCCGACAACACCGAGAACATCAGCGGTCGGATCACGCACTACGTTGATCTGAGGATGAGAATCGGTCCTCATGTGGAGACACGCACGTTCCTCCTGACATGTTTGGGAAAAGCTCGGATCTTCATTGGTCTTGATTGGTTGACGGAACACAACCCCGAGGTGGATTGGCAGGAGCAGACCATGAAATTTAGTCGATGCCCAGAGCGGTGTCACATGAGGGGTCACGAGGAACACCAAGCAATGATTGACATGGATGCAATCGACCTAGACACGAGCGCACCGGATCTGGAAGAGGGAGAGTCAATCCTGTTGGTCGACTTCGGGAAAGAAGTGGATCTACGGCTGAAGGAAACACCAGCACAGAAATTTGCAGAAGAAGCGGAGAGGGAGAAGGAGAGAATGACCGAGGGAAAGATTCCGGATCAATACCGGGAATTTGTCAAAGTATTTGCCAAGGAATCGTTCGACTCACTACCGGACCGACGGACATGGGATCATGCAATCGAGCTCAAACCTGGTTCCAAGGCAGTGGATTGCAAGGTGTACCCATTATCACGAAACGAGCAGGTCAAACTCGACGAGTTCTTGCAAGAGAACCTGGCCAGCGGACGGATCAGGCCATCGAAATCACCCATGGCATCAGCATTCTTCTTTGTCAAGAAGAAAGATGGCTCCTTACGTCCTGTCCAAGATTACCGGAAGCTCAATGAAATGACGATCCGAAACCGATACCCGCTGCCGCTGATCTCCGAACTGGTCCATAATCTATGCGGTGCAAAGTTCTTCACCAAGCTCGACATCCGGTGGGGATACAACAACGTACGGATCAAAGAGGGTGACGAGTGGAAGGCCGCGTTCCGCACGAACCGTGGGCTGTACGAGCCCTTGGTCATGTTCTTCGGTCTCACCAACTCTCCGGCAACCTTTCAGAACATGATGAACGACATACTCCGAGAACTGATCAACGAGGGTCACGTGGTAGTTTATCTTGATGATATATTGATCTTCACAGAAAACTTGGACGAACACCAACAGATCACGAAGCGAGTACTTGAATTGCTTCAAAAACACAAGTTGTACCTGAAACCCAAAAAGTGCAAGTTCGAACGCACGGAGATCGAATATTTGGGTGTAATTATAGGACACAATTCGATGCGGATGGACCCGGTCAAAATCAAGGGTGTGATGGAGTGGCCCGAACCAAGGAGCGTCAAACAGGTCCAAGCATTCCTAGGGTTCACCAACTTCTACCGACGCTTCGTCCAGGGATATGCGGAGGTTGCGAAGCCGTTGACACGGCTGACAGGGAAGGCAGGTTGGTCATGGGGTACAGACGAGCACGCGGCATTCGAGGGATTGAAGAAGAGAATCGCGGAGGATGCGGTCCTAGCACTGCCAAATGACACCGGCCAATATCGTCTGGAAGCCGATGCTTCGGAAGGGGCAACAGGCTCCGTTTTGAGCCAAAACCAAGATGGCATTTGGCGCCCAATCGCATTTATTTCGCATGCATTGACTGAAACCGAGCGAAATTACGAGATCTACGACAAGGAAATGCTCGCAATCATGCTATCATTGGACGAATGGAGGCAACTACTGATGGGAGCCACGGAAACATTTGAGATCTTCACCGATCATCAGAACCTCGAGTACTTCCGGAAGCCACAGAAACTCAACCGACGGCAGGCACGATGGATCACGGAGTTGGCGGAGTTTGATTTCACCTTACGACACCGGCCCGGCGCACTCAACCGCAAGGCGGATCTCTTGTCTTGACGAGCGGATCATAATCAGGGCAAGAACGACAACAAGGACATCACGTTGCTGAAGCCCGAGTTCTTCCGATCACAAGAAGTCACATTCCAAGGGCAAGACCAGCAGCTAATCGATGAGATCAAGGCCATCCGATCAATGGATGGAAGCGTCAAGGCGGCCTTAGAGAAGTCACTTGCTGGATGGAAAAAGGAAGATGGACTCATCACGTACCATGGGAAACTCTATGTACCGAGGGACGAGGAGCTGCGAGACAAGATTATCGGGCTACACCATGACACACCTTTGGTCAGACACGCTGGGATCAACCGAACGCAGGAGATGGTGGAAAGGAACTACTGGTGGCCAAGGATGGGAAACCAGATTCGGAAGTACATCCAGACGTGCAAGGCGTGCCAACGGACCAAGACCAGGAGAGCAAGGACGGGGACTCTGCACCCGCATGCAGTTCCAAATGCACCGTGGGAAATCATCTCAATGGATCAAATCGGACCCTTACCGGTCAGTAATGGGTATGACACAATTCATGTGTGGTGTGACACCTTCACCAAAATGATTCATGTCGAACCAATTAGTACTGACATCAGCAGTGAAGGAGTTGCACAGTTAACCAGGGATTGAGTCTTCCGCTACCACGGGATCCCCCACAAGATCATCACCGACAGGGATTTGCGTTACATCAAGGGCTTCATGAAGGAGACAAATCGGATGTTGGGCGTGGAAATGAATCCAGGGACTGCATATCACCTGATCATGGATGGACAGACAGAACGCATGAATCAGGAGATCGAACACTATCTCCGTATCTACGTCAACTACCATCAGACGGACTGGTCGGAGTGGCTGGGAATGGCGGAGTTCGCATACAATGACAAAATGAACACATCCACCAAAGTATCGCCATTCTACGCGAATCACAGATATCACCCATGGAAGGGAGTGGAGCAGCGGATGGAATCGAGGAACGAGTCAGCGGAGGAATTTGTAAAAAGAATCAAAGAAATACAAGACGAAGCAAAAGCAGCATTGGAAAAAGCAAATGAAAAAATGAAAAAATACTATGATAAACAAAGAAAAGAAGTTCCGGAGTTGAAGGTTGGGATGAAGGTGTACATAGAAGGGGAGAACATCGAGACGGATAGACCATCAAAGAAGATGAGCGACAAGAGATTAGGGCCATACGAGATACTGGAGAAGGTTGGAGCGGCTGCATGGAAACTGGATTTGCCGGACACAGACCGAAGACACCCGGTGTTCAATGAGTCACTGTTGACACCCTATCACGAACCACCCCCCCCATCGCCGAGAGAAGAGACCTGTAGCCAAGATGATCGGAGGAGCAGAAGAGTGGGAAGTCGAAGAGATCATGAAGGAGCGAAACGTTGGCCGAGGAAAACAGTATTTGGTCAAATGGAAGGGATGGCCGCATAGCGAGAACACCTGGGAGCCATCACGACACCTTACCCACGCGAAGAAGGTCCTGAGAGATTGGCAGAGGAAACAATCAAACCCAGACACACGTATTCGCCTCTTGCCAACGCTCGAAGCTGGACATTGGGACTATCTGATTCATCGCTACAAACCCAAAAACGAGCGCCTTCCATATCCCCAACGACAGCTCTTCGACCCTTACAAGAACGTCTTCCTACCCATTGGCCTAGTCAATGAGGACATCGACCCTAGAGAGGGGGTAATGTCATAGTTCGGCCACTTTTTCATCTTATCATCGACGACTTATCATCGACGATCTTATCTTATCTTGGCACAACTTATCTTATCACGGATCACAGCATCAGACGGTCCGGGCTAGGGGTTCCAGGGGTTATCTCTATCGATTCGAGGCTGCGCGACATATGCTCCGGAAGGTTCTACTACAACCCATGACCAGTGCTCCATGCGGTACATAGCCCTATGACTCATTAGTTGTAGATATGACTCAGACTGGATTTTGGGTATAAATACTGTAGCTATTTGGTTGTATTCTCCAGTCTTCGAATTCACTTCTCTTTTCGACTTTGTTTTTGGGTTGATTGTCACAACCACTTGGAAGAGCTCCTGACCTGACCACTTTCGCGAGGCCCTACGTGTCAACCCATCAACATTCAATCAGCTTGTTACTGCGTTCGAGAACAATCCTGTCTTCTGGAACAACTCAAATCAAGCTCAAGCATCAGTCAATGAACAGCTTGCAGTGGTCTTGTATCGCTTTGGACACGATGGCAATGCTGCCAGCTTGCAGTTGGTTGCGAATTGGGCTGGACTGGGGAAGGGCACCATCCTGAACTACACGAGGCGTGTCATGACCACCATCTTACAACCGTCTTTCATGCGCAAGGCTGTCCGGATGCCTACCCCTGAGGAGAAGGCAAAGGCTAAGCGCTGGGTTTGCAAGCACTCCTGTAAAGCATGGAAGAACGGGTGTTGCTTTGTGGACGGCACACTCATACCTCTTGATGAACGTCCCACGTGGTACAGGCCAGGTCATTTTGATTGGAAATGTAACTACTTGTTAAACATCCAGGTCTGTGTATGCTCTGTTGACCTACAGTTCTTATGCTAACTTCTATTATGGCAGATCGTTAACCTTCCCAACCTCCAAGTCATTGACTATGGGTACGGGCATACTGGCAGTACGCACGACTCGCTTGCTTGGCAGACCACAAGACTGGCCACTCAACATAGTACGCTCCTTGAAGAGGGTGAGTGGATATGGGCAGATTTGGCCTATCCGGTCAGCTTCTGTGGTGCATCTGTTGTATGTGTGACTCACAAACTTGCAGATTGACACTTGGATTACCGCACCTACAAGAAGCCTGCCCATGATCTGCCAAATAACAAAATCTTCAACAACCACGTCTTGATGCTACGCATTTGATCTGAGCATGTGATCAGATTCCTCAAAGGACGCTTTTGATCACTCAAGCACCTTTGTGTCCACATCAAGAATGCTGCCACGCACAAATTTGCAACATACTGGGTGTCTGCCTGCATTGGTGTTCATGCTTTTGCAGTCCGCAGCAAAGAAGAAGAGCGAGGGGGCAATGACATAGACTGGGACAATCTGGATCCTTTCATCGCTGATGGAATGGCAAGCTCGGAGGATGAGGATGGGTCTGATGGAGAACTCAGAGGATTCTCAGCCCCAGTAGCAGGTGATGGGAACACTGCGTTTGAATAACAGCAAGGCTTTCCGAGAGTATCTAAAAGAGCATTTGTTCAGAGCAAAGAAGCGCCGTAAGTGCAAGTGTCATTTGCAACGTGGTGGAATATGATCTTGTTGTACTAGGCATTTTGTTATCAACTACTTAACTGTGCTCCTCATGATGTGCAATCACATCCTTTTCCCATCCATTCATGTCACTATTGTTGCCAGCCACTGTCCCAGACCCTTTCAAAAAATGACTTGGCAAGCTATCAAGATCCATGCCGTTGAATGCACTGGCATCCAAGCCAAGACCAAACAGAGAAGAGGTGGGAGACAAGAAAGATGGACTGAAGTGGGGTTGCGGCCACTGGATGTTGGAGCTCGATGCTGCCAAGTCTTGATCAACACGTGCAACAGGTTGAGTGATGTGAGCGTGCCCAATGGGCATTCCTCCAACAGTGTTCTGCTGAAGCCAAGGGGGAAAGTCCAGCTGAGCCAGACAGATTTTGTGTTCTATCCAGAGTTGTTCGAGCTGGAGCTTGGCCTTGAGTTTGTTGTTCTGTGCACAAGTCTTTGCATCAAGATGTGTGATAAACATCTCCTTCCTTGCCTCATTGCACTGCTTCTTTGCTTCCACCGCCATCCTGGTTGTCTCCTCCTCTGCCTCTGCAACTGCTGCAAATTGATCCTTTGTTTTCTCTGCCTTCACACTACCTCCGTTCATCTCCGTCTTCGGTTTTACCATGGGAGCATCTTTTGGCTTCTTCTTCTTTGATGGGACCTCGCTGCTCTGATCCTTGACCTTCACTTCAGCTGAGTTGTTTGCATCATCTTGAATAGCCTCAAGCTTCTGCTTCAGCGCAGGTGGGATTGGCGCAGATGGATCAGCGGGGAATTCAATGTCATCTGAGTTGCTGGAGTCATCAACATCCAATACTCCGCCACCAACACTCGAGGTATCATCGCCATCAGTGATGAGAACAGAGAGGTCGATCTCGGTCTTGTTGTTTCCAAGACCAGTAGGATTCTTGTTTGGATGCTCTCCAACCAGGGACTTCATACGAAAGAACCAAGGTGTGTCCTTTTTAATCATGTCTGTGTTATGTACCGCAGTGCTCAGCATTGGAGTAGTGTCAAGTGCTAGTTGACAACTCACCCCACTTCGACATCAGTGGTGTATCTGACTGTATCGCATCCTCACTATTAAGACCAGCACCTGTCTGGCCCATCTCTGTCAACGCTGCCATTGTCTTCCGCTGCAGTGTATCCAAGCGGTTCTTTATCTTCATCTGCCATGGCTTCTTTGCTTTTGCGGAGTTCTTCAGAGGAACCTTGTCGACGAGCTTGAGAGCCTCTGCATATAAGGAATGAGCCTTGAACACGGTGAAATGCTGAGGGCGCGCTCACAGGTAAATCTACTATGAAAGTAAACCCAAATATAAACACGTTCACACTCCTCGTAATCAGCTTCTCAGTGTGTGAAAGATGCAAGGGCTTCGGGGTGGACAGAGCACCAGTATCACAACTCTCAATAGACGCAGATCAATAGTCGCAGAAGACAAAGTCGACAACAAGAATTTATATAGAGCAAATAGTGGTATCTCAACCAATATCTTCTATATGACCAAAACCAACACTAATCCAACCACAACCAACAATATCACAAGTCAGAGCTTAATACAAAGTATTAAGATCCCTTGTAGCGACAGTGTCCAGATGGCGACGCAAAGCCCAAATGTCAAGTCGATGCACTGCCAACTAACACAACCAAAGTACTGAGTCAACGCACTGCCAACTAGTAAACCAAAATGCCACGTCGACGCACTGCCAACTAACAGCCCATATCCAATGTCAAAAACCCAAGCACAACTTGTCGACGCACTGCCAAGCAAGAAGTGTGAAACCAAAGTTCTCAAGTCGACGCACTGCCAACTGACCAAAGCAACCCAAGCACAACTAGTTGACGCACTGCCAAACTAGAGGTGTGGAAACAATCTCAATAAAGCCCAAAGGCGACGACACTAAATGCCGCGACTGAACCAGATGGGGCGAATCCAACTTTCTGGTATCTCAAAACTCAAACTCAAATCACAGTAGCTACAAGTGCTCAGGGAGCAACTCGTCGCGACTGGGCAGGGGTAGCAGAACTTCTTAGGGTGGAATCACGTGGCACGCAAATTGCACAAAACAATCTGATATGAGAGTGATTCACAGTTCCGGGGGAAAAGCTTCCTAATACAAAGAAACGACGTGCTACTTATACTGTCTACGACGATGCTTAGTAAAGTCCTGTACAACTGCATAGTAGCTACGCTATCTAAGATCGGTTGCCTTTTAGGGTAATGAAAAGTTGGACGATCGGACAGGTCCTGAGTGATTAGGACCCTGCTCCATAGTCCATATGGTACTTTTGATGTGGGTCAACCCACCGCATCATACTTTTGGAATACGACGTGCTGGATTGGCCAACTGGTATGTCTTGGTGGGTGAGTCCAACGTGGGTGCCCCAAGAAGCCATATGGTCCTAGGCACGCCAGTTGTTCCTCACATGGTTCAGTTCATGGATCTAGCCCGTGTTGATTTTAGTGTGTTTGGGTATGAGCACGACTCGCAGTGACACTTGGAAGTGACACCGCGACGCGTCCACAATGTCCCGTGATCGAGTGGATCCTGACATGTGACAAGTCATTGCCATGGCATGATCTGAGGAAATGTCTAACCCAAAGCCGGGAGTTGCCGCGACAAGATTGGTTGAATCTCGTAACGCCAAGTCCTGTCCAGTAGTAGTTGTAATATTGAGAATGTCGCACATTGCTCAGCCCTTCAGCCCAAGTTCCCATCTGCAGAGAATGACCCTTTTTGAGAAGTCGCCGCAACAAAGATCCCTTTTTGGGGAATGGTTGCGGTCCAAGCATTTGTTGCTAATAGCCCTGAGTCTGGTATAGACTCATAAGACCAATTCCACAGTAGTGGTCTGACTGCCTTGCTATCGTCGACACTATCCACAGTTGTCAACCGGGCAGTAGACCCTTAAGCCCTACTGAGCGCAACACTGTCAACCGTGACACAATACACTGAATGGTTCGAGAGTAAACTCTGTAAAAAGCGCAAAATACGCCCTTACAGAGCTGGTGCAGAGTGCGTCTGGTAGCCAGCCTATCAACGGTGACAGCCAGGCTCCGGTGGAAGTTGGTCTTGCTCTTGCCGCCAGTGCGAGGATTGGACCCGTGTCCTGGGAACAGTGCGTTTTTGGCGTCCTCATCAGCCTCAATGGCCGTGATAATATCAAAGGTGAGCTTGACACCATCTTCAGATGACCAGCTGATACTCTTTCAGGGAACGCTGTAGCGGAAAGATGTTTGCAACGTACTCCATGTCTCCTGCTGCATTTGCTGCGGCCAGTGCTGCCTCTAACAAGGTATCAGCAGACTTGGTCACAGCTGGTGTGCTAACAGGTGGCTCAGTTTCCATGTTCTTCAACCCTCTCTACTTCCGGCCTTTGGTCTCCTGTGCAGGGGTACTGGGGGCATTGGGGGTTGCAGTAGCAGACTTGGACTTGCCCATCAGGCTGTTAGGAGTAATAGACAAACAGTTAACAGTTGCAAATCATGTTTTTTTTATCAAGTGCATCATCACAACAACTGTCAAAGCTGAAGCTGAAGCTAAAGCGTCTTGCAAAGCAGCTCCAGAGGCGCTTCACGGATTCGACTTGATTCGACCAAATTGCGATTTTGACTCTTTGTCAAATCGGCTCGAAATCACGCGTTCAAATCATGCTCAAATCATCTACTTTGACTGCCCCTAATGCGTGCACAGTTGACATAACTATTTTCATCACGTGATTGAGCCACTACGGGAATGGCGGCGGAGTGAGGGGTCTTGTTCTTGTTCCCTGGGAGATATATTTCTCAGTGAATTAGAGGACTAGTGAGCTATCTATGAGCAAGCTAAATTGACTCAATACTGAACGTTTCCATACGTACTGTCACGGCACATTGCTGTCCGGGGGTCCCCGCATCAAACAACGACGTCGCCTATCATTGCCAAGGAGCAGGACTCTCCAGACCTCCCTAGTCTTGACATCGCTTATCAATGATCAACGTCGCATAACCATTTGACATGAGCAGACCTCTCCGGGTTTCCATAGTGGGTGACTTTCCGTAAGCGTTTTTGCATAAATCAAGGCTACATAAACACATTTGCCGAGATGCTGGGGCGCTGATCAAGACCCCAGCGTGTCAAACTCTTGCTTGAGCCCTTTCCTAGACTACGAATGGATAGCTATCTGTGTAAGGCCTCGCGACCCCCTACACAGACATAAAACAGCTTCAAAAACCAAAAGAGGAAGGTGTCCATCACACCTTTGACGTCAGGCCCGTGCTAAGTCCGCTGGGTTCCCACCGTCACTCCTCTGCACTCATCGGACACAACCTCGTACGACTTCTCTCCCGCCTTATTTCTTTGACTGCCATGGTGCGTCTCGTTGTCGATGAAATTCGCCACAACATATCCTGATTGCCGAAGCCAAAGCCTCCGTTTATATGAGCCCCTGTGAGTCGTGCCTTGCCTTCATGGCTACACGCGCATGGGATGCTCAAGCGCTCATATACAGCTTCGAGACCGGCCGTTTTTGGCTGACCAGTCGTATGGACAAGGCACGAAGGGATGGGGGATAAAAGGATGACGAGGAACTCGCAGAAGGAACGAAACATCTCAGATCATGTCTCAAGACAATCAGGGTGTTCCTCTCATGCCTACTGACCATCCGGGTTATATGCGTGACGCCCAAGGCTTTCTTTACATTCAACATGAGGATAGACAATGGATTCCGTACAATCCGGTACGTTTTCTGGCTCTTTTCCGATTGTTTACATCGAGCTGATGGATCCAAAGCCTCCAAATGCTCATGCAACTCCGGCTCGACCCTCCAATTTTCTACCTCCGCCTCCCAGTCCCAGTCCACCTCCTGTATGTCCTTTTCACCTACGAAAGTCGATGCTGAAGCTATGAAACAGCTGCAGCAGCTTCAATTCACATTGAATCCGATTGCCACGCCGACTTCGACTCCATCAAACCCGGCTCCGCCGATTCCTCCAACTCTTGTGTCCAAAGTCCCTGCCTCCAACGCCTCCACGTGCAGGCCGAAGCCGCAGGCTACAGAGAAGAAGTTGACCACCACCAAGTCATCGGGATCAAAGAAGCGCACATACGAGTCAGATGAATCTGACAACAACAACTCGAAGTCTGCGGCTAAGCGCAAATCCAGTGGACGGACGAACGGGTCAGGAAACTACGCAAACGACCATGTTATGGGGATGCTCAATGTGGTGGAGGATGTAGAGCCCGCAGGAGGGAATGGATGGAAGGAGGTGGCGAGGCTATATAACATCCGTGCAGAGGAGGAGGGTTGGCCAACACAAACCCAAGAGTCATTGCAGAGGAAGTACAAGTCGGTGCGTAGCTAGTTTTCTCACTGCTGTCGCTCGTTGACACATTTTCCTAGTTCTTGACGATGAAGAAGCCCACCGGAAGCGGTGAACGTCCCCCTCATGTCACCCGCGCTCTCCAGATCGAGGAGAACATCATCAAGAAGGCCGGCATCGTCGAGATCAGCGACACTGATAACTCGTCAGATACGGACGTGGATGTGAAGCCGGTAAAGAAGTGCACCGCCGTTGCAACTCATGCTCCATCCCCTGCCCGCCGCCGATCTCGCGTGAACCCCAATGAGGTCATGGGCAATGTTGCCCGTGCGTTTGACCCGGAGGCAATGGAGCGGCGCAAGTCTGCACAGACCCAACGCATGCACGAGAGCGCACAGCTCTTTACAGCATCACAGCAGACTCGGGACCTCCAGAGGGAGGTCGCTGCTCTCCATCGACGGATTGAGCAGCTGCAGGAGCATTTGCATGGGGCTCAGCGTGAACGCAACATGGCCAAACTCCGCCTCGAGTTCATCCAGCCTCCTCGCAGCCATGCCAATTCCAGCCCATACATGCCGCCGCAGATCACAGACGATGACTACGAGTTTGACTGGGGTCGCTCTTCTCCCTCCGTTTCACACCATCGCAATGCAATCGCTGGCCCGTCGCATCCTCTACGCTTTCCCTCCGAACTTCAGACTTCGACAGTTGTTGCCGATGCTGCTGAGGTCACTGTCTCGCAGCCAGATGGGAGCGCTTTGACAGTCACCATCAGCCCGAGCAAGGGCAAGGGCAAGCAGAAGGCTACGGAGGACAATGAGGAGCAGTAGGGTCGACTGTTACATCCATATACCCCTTTCTCAGACAAGCTCTAGTTGTTCCTTTACAACATCTCTTATCTTTTTTTACAATCCAACTTGTGTCGCTCGTTAATACAATTCATGCTCTATACATCTTCATAAACAGGAAAGTTATGGAATCTAGCAACACGATCATTCCTCCGCTGTTCTGAGAACATCACATCTCCAAAATCCGACCATAGTCTTGCATCCTCCATGGCCTCCATCCAAACTGGCATGTAGACTGACCGAATTTGGTTGTGTCCAACGCGCTCCGCACGTAAATTATGCAGTCGAAGACAAACCTCGATGAGGTTTGCGCGCGCCTTGGTGTTGTTGATATCCAGAGGGACACGGAGACGTCCAAATGAGCCCTGTACTGTTCGCATTCCCCATTCAGCTGTCTGGCGATATGAGAGCAGTTCTCGATCAAATGCGAGTTTCTCTTCAATCTCTGCTTGTGTCCCGTTTATGCGCTGCCCAGTCTTAATGGGAGCACAGATCCTGCTGTCAATTTGCACGTTACCGCGCGGGAATGCTGTGTCAGCCACCAGGTAGAAGCCGTCGGGAGTCCGAGTGAGAAGCTTGTCATAAATAGGCCTTGCAACACGCGAGTCGTGCCAGCTGCCAGGTGCGTTCAATCTCACAGCGATGACTTTACCTAACAGGATCAAAGACTTGTAATTAGTGAGGGACTAGATTGGACAGCAAAATGCACAAACCATCAGGTGCAAAGACAAGGATATTACTCACGCAGTGGTCAGAAAGCCATCCATTGTAAGTGGCATTCTCGATCTCTGCATCCGCCGAAGTCTGAACTGGTAGATTCAACCCATCAATGCTCGCAAACGCTCCCGTAAGTCGAGGGTGTCGGACAATGATGAGGGCATTGTACGCAACAAATTCTTCCTGCGTGCACGGCCACCTGATTTGGCATTCAGGGATTTTCCTTAACACAACATGGAGGATGTTGAGGCTGAAGGTGATGTAGCGGGAAACAGTGGAGGGGATGATGGCAAAAATCTGCTGTAGGCTGATCTCATGCATGGTCGAGCTGAGGTAGTGGAGGACAAGACCCAGGGCGCCGTTGGCATCAAGTGATCGTGCTCCTGGTCGAGAGTCCCCGGCTGCATCAGTGTCCGTTCGGGGGATGGGGGTGCTGTACCATGTAGAGGCAAAACCGGACTCAATGATGTACACAAACGTGTCGACGTCGACACCCATTGTTGTGATAAATGCCCGATCGTTTCTGCTGTTGTACAGGATCTGCCACGGTGTAGCAACACGCGGATTAGGGAGTAATTGGGGGTGCGTCAGGTAAAGACGGCTTGGATTCCTCTGCTCTGCTTGGAGCCGTCGTCCCTCCGCATAACTCGCGCTGATCACACCAAGCGCTGCCCGCAACCTTCCCTCTTCCTCCTCCCGGTATATCTCCTCTGAGAGCTCCATTAGCCTGCGCTGAAACTCGGCATCGCCCTCGTCGTCATCCTCACTGGGACTGTTGTTATCGAGGTCGTCGTACGTGCCGTAGTCGTCGTTATTGTCGTGGTGCATGAAGAGGTCAAATGATGTGATCGGTCATTCGGTTCTGAGAGCCGGAATAGACAGATGTCAACTTGTAAAGGCCGAGAAATGATAAAATGTGTTGCGGATAAAGCTTTTGACATAAACATATCCCATAACGGTAAGCGAGATCATTTGGCACCGTGATATGGGATATGTATATGCATCTATGTTACGGAAAGTCACCCAGTATATCCGTCCATCCTTCAACAATCAGGTCCGCTCGGAAGGCCCCATCTATACATTCAGTCACGATCACGTGTGGTTGATACGCGCTGTTTGCCTTGTTTGTTGAGTACGTCGTACAAAGCTTGACCTCAACGCTCACCACAACGACCGCAGGATGTGGGCCAAGTTTAGCTCGGCGCTGAAGTCCAAAGCGGCCCCCGCTGAGTCGGCTTCTCTCACCCCGAACCCGACTGCACATCTTAATCCCGCTGGATCTCATGGCGAGGTCATGTCAAGCGTCTTCGAGCAGCATCCCAACCTTTCCGTCTTCCGTTCAGCCGACCGAAGCGAGCCACATCCGATTCCGCCCCCTTCTCCGTCAAGATCCGGGCGTATGAACATTTTAAGCGCCATGAAGAGCACCAGAGAGCACCAGATCAGACCAAGCACATGCTTGGTTACTATAGAACACATTGTATGTAGTCATATGCCACCGCGTGCAAGGCCGGCCAGCTGCAAGAAAATAAGCCCGATGACACAGTTTGGCGGTTCGAACGGGTTCGAACCGCGTTCGACCTTGGCAGCCTCTCCTCGGATTTGGCCGAACCTGAACCCCGAACTCGAGTTCAGTTCGGTCCGGTTCAGGTTCGAACCGATTTCCGAACTGAACCTTGAGAGCACTAGTACAATAAGCCCGCGGATTTAGCTTTCAGGTGATCTTACTCTACCCCACGATGTCCTCTCTCGCTGCTGCTGCAGAGAGGCCAGCATCCACCTCCAGTGCGTCGGAAACGACGACGAACCTCGCGGGAGATCTCGATTTGGAGGCGCGTTTCAAGGACGGTAAAGACAGGGTGGGAGAAAAATCTGACGCGCAGGAAACACCGGCACCTATGCCTGAGACGCTGGCTGCAGACGATCCAGAAAGTGCGTCGGAGATCTCACCGGACGGGCTATCTAATCAGATTCGAATCGGTTCTAGATCCGCGCAACTGGAGCACTGCTTCCAAAGTGGTATGCAAGGACTGATTTGGGTCGTTCTATGTTCAATCGACTTTCGGGCTACTAGACAGCCACTCTTGTCATCTGCCTATGGGTGCTTACGCTCACATATTCGTCGACGGCATATGTGAGGAGCAGCGCTGATCCTGGCTTTCGTACTGATATTTTGGCATAGGTTGCCAGCATTCCTTCACTTATGAAGCGGTTCGGGATCTCAGAGGAAGGTGAGTCAAACTCTGTGTCCAGTCCTTGAGCCCGAATCAGTCTACGCAGTTGCTCTCCTGGGCGTAAGCCTCACAGTGTAAGCATTGTCTACCAGCATCTGTCCCAACTGACGCACATTCCAGTCTTGGATTTGCAGCCGGGCCGCTCATTTTCGGCCCTGCGTCGGAGCTATATGGGAGGCAGGCAGTGTACCGATTCACCGCAGTGTTCTACAGCGGTGAACACTAGTTCCGCCTCTCCCCACCAAGTTCTCTCCACTAATCATGATCTTGCTGCAGCGTTCTTGTTCGGTGCCGCCTTCGCACCGAGCGCAGCGGGTCTCTTGATCTTTCGGTTTCTATCTGGATTCTTCGGCTCGGCGTCCATCAATAATGCACCAGCATCCATTGGGGACTGGACATCTCCATCGAATCGCGGGGCGTATACGGCCCTCTGTGTGTGCTTCGTGGCAGACAAACGCGCAGTATCTCATAAACATCTCAGATGGCCTAATGGCTTTCGGCGGGCCCTGCCTTGGGCCTCTTGTCGCGAACTTCATCCAGCGTGATGCGAATTACCAGTACGTTTTGAAAAGCACTGGTCAGACATGTTTTCTGAGCTGGTTCGCAGCTGGAACCTGCGTGTTATTGCGATCTTTGGGACTTTCATAGGCCTGCTAGTCGCACTAGTACCCGAGACCCATGGTCCCACTTTATTGAGGTGGAAACTGAGGCGGCAAGGGCAGGAGACACCGGCGCTGACTGTTGCCAAGATTGTTGCCACCTACAAAGTTGCCTTGGCACGACCTGTGCTCTACCTTGTGACAGGCAAGCGACCCATCTTCTCTCCCTCTTGCAGGATGTTGGTGTTAATGCCCAGCAACAGAACCGATCGTCGGGGTCATCTCGTTGTATCTCAGCGTGCTCTATGGAATTCTGTACGGCTTCTTTGAAACATTCAGTGTCGTTTATGTCGAGATCCGAGGATTCAAGACCACTTCCTATGGCTTGACCTATATCTCCCTGGGACTGGGTTTCGTCGTGTCGGCCATTCTTCTTGCCACTGTCGGGCGTGAGTTGGCATTGAGCATCTTCTGTCCTCAACGAGTTGACTGAACCTCTCTAAGAATACGACTATCACAAGGCGGCCAAGAAGGCTGCCGCAAAAGGCCTGCCGATGGAGCCCGAAGTACGGTTGACGTTGACTTGTTGGGGCGCAGTCGCATCTCCCATGTGAGTGTGCTTAGAACCTATTGCAACCTCTAGTGACTCCGGTGTCCACCCAGATCGTTGTTCATCTTTGCATGGACGGCTCCCTATCCCCGTGTGCACTGGATTGCCTGTTGCATCGCAGAGTTCATCTTCGCCTGGAGCACGTTTCTCATCTTCAACTGTTTTGTGCGCTGCGCTTGCTGCGTTCAGCCTTCCTACGCTGACGCTCTCGTAGATCCCCTATTTGATTGACTGCTACCAGATGACCGCCGCCTCGGCACTTGCCGCGGGAATGGCCAGTCGCGCGCTCGTTGCCAGCGTCTTCCCGTTGTTCTCCCTCCAGATGTACCACAACCTCACAGTCCAGGGTGCAACATCGCTCCTTGGCGGCATTGCGGTCCTGTTGGCGCCGATTCCCTTTGTATTGATGAGATCTGGAAGGGCGATTCGCGCTCGGAGCAAGCATGCGATTGTATGCGAGTGAGGATAGGACTATCATACACAACGACTACCTTACTTATAGATCGCTTTCATAGTCGAGGTTGTTGATGGACTCAATGACATCATATATTCAGTCACGCGATTGAGAACGTCACGATCACGTGTGGTTGATACGCGCTGTTTGCCTTGTTTGTTGAGTACGTCGTACAAAGCTTGACCTCAACGCTCACCACAACGACCGCAGGATGTGGGCCAAGTTTAGCTCGGCGCTGAAGTCCAAAGCGGCCCCCGCTGAGTCGGCTTCTCTCACCCCGAACCCGACTGCACATCTTAATCCCGCTGGATCTCATGGCGAGGTCATGTCAAGCGTCTTCGAGCAGCATCCCAACCTTTCCGTCTTCCGTTCAGCCGACCGGGGCGAGCCAAATCCCAGTCCGCCCCCTTCTCCGTCAAGATCCGGGCGTATGAACGTTTTTAAGCGCCATGAAGAGCACCAGAGAGCACCATCGCCGATGAAGGGACTGTCTAAGAAAGTTAAGAGCACCTTTGGCATACATGGAAACAGTACGCTTCTCCTAACTTCCATCACCGTACTCCGTTTGAGACTGTTCCAGACTCACAGCTGTCTTTGGGACCCTCTTCCCCGATTCCTCCACCTGAATCCTCATCTACCCGGCGCTCCTCTTTCAATCTCTTGAAACGCCCGTCCATTGAAGCACTGCGCTCGCCCACGGGCGAATCATTCCGCTCTCTTTCCCGTGCAGACGAATCGCGTTTCCTCGCAGAGTATGAACAGCAGCGCCCAACAACACCTGCCACCGCATTCGAGAACAAGTCAGGTTCCGTGCGCTCTATTCTTCGCGAGAAGAACACGCCGGGGACAGGCCAGAATGTCCGCTTCTTCTCTCGCGACGCCTACCGCGTCCTGAGTCCCGAGCAGTCGATGGAATCTGACTCAAATCAAGACTTTCAATCAATGGCTCGGCCCACCTCTCCTATTGCGCCTGCTTCGCAGCGGAGCGCAGTCTCACCGGTGCCCACAGATGGGGCATTCATGGAGCGTCTTAAACGTGCTGGCTCGGATGATAGTAACGCGTCGAGCTCCTCGATGCCTCGTATTGGAAGTACTTCCAAACTTGTCAAGAAACGGCCCGCCCTGGGTGAACTATTCTCGCCAACTGCTTCTCCAGAGACCAATGCGCCAAGGTCACCCGCTGCTCAAGACAGCTCACGCTCCTTGTCGCAGATGCCTCCAGGCTCGGAGTTTAGCAATCTCTTTGATGTCTCTCAAGAATTAGAGCTGGATCTTCCTGTCATCCCGCCGCCAGGGCTTGGATTTGACTTGGACTCTATGATGGGATCAGCTCCCAAGCCGATGACGTCGACTCCTTTCCGCGACAAGGGCAAAGGGAAGGAGGAGCTTAGAATTGAAACCAGCGTCGACGAAAACATTTTCCACGCGAAGGACAAGGCACCACAGCTCCCCGCCGTTCTCCACGAGCGCACCAACTCGTTTTCTGCTGGACAGACCATGTTTTACTCAATAGCCCATGACGACGAGTCTTCAAAACGGACATCGACGTCGTCTGATTTCCCATCGAGTGCACAATCCAGTCCCGCGAAGGATGAGGGCTCTGTCACAAGTCCTGCCGAGTCATCGTCCCCCGTGGCTGCGGGGCGCCCACGAGCACTCAGCGACACTGTATTCATGTCGATGCTCCGTTCTCCGTCTCCCAAGTCTCTTCCGGAGGCAGATATCAACGACGAATCGTCTGCGGAGTTGGTGGTCTACAACAGCGAACCAGATCCCTTCAGTGCCAATGCCAATACATATTACACACCTCAGACCAACATTCCGCCGACGCCGCCACCGGCCGTTTCCCATTCCCGGACTGGTTCCAAAGAGAACGACACAATCATCTCCCTCAAGACGCAGCTGGCCCTGCAGACCGAACTGTGCGGGCAGTATGAGACCGACTTGGCTGCACGGGACGAGCTGGTTGATCTTTTGCGCAAGAAGCTGGACGACGTTGACCGTGAGGAGAAAAAACGGAGCAACGTCCTCAAGTCGTGGAAGAAGAAGGTCGTGGAGCTCGAGCGAGCGTGCCGTTTGCTTGAGGAGGAGGTCGAGGGATCCCGGCATGAGAGTATGGAACGCAGCATCATGGACGAGGCAAGCTCTGAGGCACTCAGGATGCTACACAAGCAAATCTCGAAACTTGAGCGAGAGTGTGACGAGCAGAAGCGAATCCAGGCTGTGGTGAGGGAGGAGAATGGTTTGTTGGAGGTTCGATTGCGGGAGAAGAGCGAAGAGGCGAACCGCTTGAAGGAGGATCTGTGGAGCCGCGACGAGAAGGAACGACAACTGGAACGAGACATGAATGCGATGAGCGAGCAGGTAAATATGCTCAGCAACGTCAGCATCGCCATCGACGAGACCGAACTGCGGAAGATCGCTGCTGGACCGGGTTTCGTTGTGGATGGAGACGAGGAGCGCCAGCATCGCAGCCGGGAACTTCAATGGGACCAAGAACGCGAGGAACTGGTCGCTGCCGCTGAGACTGCCAAACTGGAAAAGGCGGATGCAGAGTCGGAACTGGACAACTGCAAGCAGCAACTGGGAGAGCAGGCCGAGCAGATGGCGATGCTGAAGATCGAATTGGAAGCACAGTGGGAGCACACCGAGAAGGCGGCTGACAAGCTCGAGTTGGTCCAGCAAGAGGCAGAGAGGGAGAAAGATGAGCTCCATGCGGAGCTGGTCGAATTTGAGGACCGGGTGCTCACGCTCGAGGCCGAGCTGACTGAGAGCGAGAGTAAGCAGATCGAACTCGACAACGAGGTACAGGCCTTGTGGGACGAGAAAGAGGCTCGGGACAAAGAGTTTGAAGAGGTGCGTAGCTGCTTGTTCCATGGCATTCGTTTACTGACGACTGAGGGCAGATCGCCGAGCAGATCCACAACAAGGAAGCAGAGATCGAGGCCCTCCAAAATACGCTCAAATCTGGCGAAGACAGGATCGTGGAGTTGACTCAAGAGCGCCAGTACGCCCTGGACAACGTGACGCGGCTGGAAGAAAACATCCGTCGTCGCGACGCTGAAGTGACTGAGTATTCTCAGCGCGTTTTGGAGCACGAGTCCGAGGCCGAGTCGCTCCGGGAGCAGATGAGTCGTCTGAAACGCGAGCATGCGACTGCCCTCGAGAGTGCTTTGGCTGAGCGGGCTACGGAGAGCGACGAGCAGGCCCGAGTTGCACGTGACCGCGTCAATGACTTCAAGGACGAGGTTGAGCGTCTGCGGAGGCAAATCCACGAGCTGCAGCAGGAGAGTGCGGATAAGGAAGTGAAGCTTGCGCAAATGGGGAAGCAGCACAAACAGGACAAGGAGGACCTGCAAGGAATGAACATTGCGCTGGACTCGAAGCAGCAAGAATTGGAACTGGTTAGTATTTACGAGTGGCGTTGTCTATCATGACTTACGGCTCTCTAGATGAAGCGCAAAATGGGTGTCCGGGGCACCGCTGGCTCGACACCAGCCCAAAAGACTTCTCAGCAGCGCCGCGATTCGACGGTGTTCAATGCGACGCCCAGTGTGGGCTCCCGGCCGCCTTCAGTGTTATCAGACGCCGGCAGCGATCGGGGCAGCAGCACTGGCAAACTGCCTGCGCTCACGCGTCTGAGCAACAAACCACCCGTTACCCGAGGATCGATGGGTCCGCCCCCCGCTCGGCCCTCTGTTTCGGGGACACCGACACCTGCCTCATCTCTCTCGCGATCCATGTCTGCAAAACCTGCTCTGAGCTCGACTCCGGTTGCGGCTCAGCACCGAAGGGTGGTATCGGCGACGCTTGACCAGTCAATGACGCGAAAGCGACAGAGCATGACACCAGGCGAGAAGGAGAACGTGAGTGTGTCTCGCCCGGGCACGAAAGCCCGGGTTCCTGTGCCTTCTTGAGGACATTTTTTGTCTCCTTCACTGCTATCTTATTCCGTCTACTTGTCTCAATATCGCTATCCTCCGCTTTCTCCTCACTCGTCGATTCCACTGTGCTCGTGCTATCTATGTGCTGCTTTTTGCTGTGTTCATGTTGTCGATGAAGCATACATTTCATTTGTACAGTATATATATCTACCTCACTCTACCTGTATTTGTAATCAAGACTCTTGAAGCTTGGCGCAATCTGACTAGATAATCAAGAACTGACCGCACAGAACATCCCAAGTCTGGAGACTTGTTTGTGTGATGTCAAGAAAATGGACATGGGCGTCACCAAATCATCTCTTCCGGAAACACTCCTCAACCGTTCGATAGAGTTGCAAAAAACAAATCCTGATTCCTCATTATTATCCCGGATCCGAGCCTCACTCGGAGTTTTCTCACGTGATCGTGACGATCGTGTGCCGAGCCTTCGACACAAACACTACGTTTACTATGTCACGCAGCGAGCGACGCACCGTAAGGCTTCCCCCGCCACCCTTGGTCGTTGGCTATGCGATCTGCGTCCAATACTTCTACGATGTCATCACCCCCTTGCCCGATTATCGCAAGAGATTCGAAGGCCCAGGTCGCCTGGGATCGAGCCTTGGACCTGACTACTGGCAACATTGTATCACCTACGTACGCCAATGGAAAGGTGTTTCCGGTCCTATGCGTACGTCGCTTCTTCTATATAGCTGCCTCTTATCTCTTAGGGAATCATATCCTCTTGAAGGCCTCTTTGAGACACCTGAACCCGATGTAGACACCAACAAATTCGATCACACCTCGCATATCTTTATTCCTGTCCGGACGGTGCTGTACAAGGATCGACACCGCCAGTGCAAAGAGTCTCCCTTCGATCAGGCCCACCTCGTAGACATGGTCAGGAGGATCGACTCGTTGGGAGGCGTGCTCGATCCATCGCGAGTGAAATGGAGACAGTTCAAGCCACGGTCGCAGGCCAACCCAACGGGGGTGAGTGCTCTCTGGGCTTATTTTCGCATGGCTCACAGAGTGCTTAGTATGACTACTCGATGTATGCATCTTGTGGTCTGTTTCCTCCCGTGCGACGTGTTCAGTATCCACCATCGACTATCGAGGATGTCGAGGTTCTTTAACTTCAACTTCTTCCCGAACATCTCGTCCCTTCAATTTCGACGTGCTATCCAAGAGCCATTGATCATTGGAGGAACTCTGTGAACGCCCGATCGGCTTACGCTCACTGATGCGTGGCCTATTGACGTTCTCAGGATTGCACTTGGAGCGAATCTCGAGTAACCGTTGTGCTCCAATCTGAATCTGAGATGGCCTTCCGATTTCCCTGTGTGCGGACTGGTTTTACTACATGCAAGCTGGCGGGCAATGTGTACCTGACCACTGGGTTGACTGTGAACCGATTGTATGCTGTACGCTGAACTAGGCAACTTTCTTCCCGCAATTTACTGGATGACTCTCGCCTGCAAATTATTGCCGCAGTATGATGCTGGCCTCGCCAGTGAGTGGTTGTGGGATAGAGGGCATCAAGAAACCATACTATCTCATTTACGGGTAATATCAAATGGAGACAATGGGTGAATCAGTGAAACAAGATTTGGTGCGCTTCGATACTGGTAGCTCCATGGGCGGATTCAGAGTATGAGCTCCTCGCCTTGCTGCTGCCTGAGGTTCAGGAGATCTATGAGCGAGCTCATCCATGTCCTGGAAGTGTGACTCGTCTGTGTCCTGGGATTGCGGCTCGACCCTGGCTTGAGAATCTAGCTGAATGACCACATCCGAGTCCTGGATCGAGTTATGAATCATCTCCAAAGTCTGCGCTATCCCCCCCAAGTCCGCTTTCTCTTCTGCAGTGTATGGGGGGTGGTATCTGATCCAGCTGGTTCAGTAGGTCTAGCGAAGATGAGCTGAGATCTCTAAGCCTGGTGCTCCTGCTTGAGGGATCCGAACGATATGATGAAATTGATGGTCCACCGTCAGTGCTTGACTCACGCGAAGCCGAACTGCTGACAACTTTTTCCTCGCGGTGCCGATCTTCTTCATCACAATCCTCGTATGGTCCCGCAGCGTTTACACTGGCTCGGGCAGCGCTCGCCGCCATCTCTTCTGCCCACAAACTCTGCAGTTCTTCGATTCTGAGAGCGCTCCAAGTTGCCTGAGTTTTGTGCAATGTGGCAAGCAAAGCCCTCATCGAATATGCTTCCCCATTTCAGTATGTCGTTCTCCGTTTAATTGGACCCGTCAGAACGGGAAGATGCTTCGCGAAGACGAACCCTGTTCCTCACGATAGACACACCAAGCACCGGTTGATTCAGAGAGCGCTTAGCATCTCCGATAAGATAATTTTTCATTTGAGCATCAGCTTTTTCCTGGGCAGCACCCATTGCGAGTAAGACCCTCTGGGTTGCTCTTTGCGCCGCCTGTCGAGCTGCATCCGCGGCTAGTGTCTCCCCAGCGTCCGATGCACTAGACTTACGCTTTTCTAGATGAAGCGCAAAATGGGTGTCCGGGGCACCGCTGGCTCGACGCCAGCCCAAAAGACTTCTCAGCAGCGCCGCGATTCGACGGTGTTCAATGCGACGCCCAGTGTGGGCTCCCGGCCGCCTTCAGTGTTATCAGACGCCGGCAGCGATCGGGGCAGCAGCACTGGCAAACTGCCTGCGCTCACGCGTCTGAGCAACAAACCACCCGTTACCCGAGGATCGATGGGTCCGCCCCCCGCTCGGCCCTCTGTTTCGGGGACACCGACACCTGCCTCATCTCTCTCGCGATCCATGTCTGCAAAACCTGCTCTGAGCTCGACTCCGGTTGCGGCTCAGCACCGAAGGGTGGTATCGGCGACGCTTGACCAGTCAATGACGCGAAAGCGACAGAGCATGACACCAGGCGAGAAGGAGAACGTGAGTGTGTCTCGCCCGGGCACGAAAGCCCGGGTTCCTGTGCCTTCTTGAGGACATTTTTTGTCTCCTTCACTGCTATCTTATTCCGTCTACTTGTCTCAATATCGCTATCCTCCGCTTTCTCCTCACTCGTCGATTCCACTGTGCTCGTGCTATCTATGTGCTGCTTTTTGCTGTGTTCATGTTGTCGATGAAGCATACATTTCATTTGTGCAGTATATTTATCTACCTCATTCTACCTGTATTTGTAATCAAGACTCTTGAAACTTGGCACAGTCTGACTAGATAATCAAGAACGGAGCGCACAGAACATCCCAAGTCTAGAGACCTGTTTGTGTGATGTCAAGAAAATGGACATGGGCGTCACCAGATCATCTCTCCTGGAGAAACTCCTCGACCGTTCGATAGGGATACAAAAACAAATCCTCAATTATATCCGAGACGTGAGCATCAAGTCGGAGTTTTCCCACGTGACCGCGATGGTCACTTGCCTAGCCTTACTCAATCATTGACTCAATAGGAGACTGGAGTCAGCCCGAACCTTCGACACGACTACTGTATACTATGCCGCGCAGCGAGCGACGCACCGCAAGACTTCCGCCGCCGCCCTTGGTCGTTGGCTATGCGATCTGCGTCCAATACTTCTACGATGTCATCACCCCCTTGCCCGATTATCGCAAGCGATTCGAAGGCCCAGGTCGCCTAGGACCGAGCCTGGGACCTGACTACTGGCATCATTGTATGTACTACGTGGAGCAATGGAAAGGCATTTCTAGGCCTACGCGTGCGTCTTATCTTCAATATAGTTGCACGTCATCATCTCTGTTTTTCATGTCAAAGGCCTTTTTGAGACACCTGAGCCCGGTGTAGACGCAGAAAAATTCGAACAAACCTCGCATATCTTTATTCCTGTCCGGACGGTGCTGTACAAGGATCGACACCGCCAGTGCAAAGAGTCTCCCTTCGATCAGGCCCACCTCGCAGACATGGTCAGGAGGATCGACTCGTTGGGAGGCGTGCTCGATCCGTCGCGAGTGAAATGGAGACAGTTCAAGCCACGGTCGCGGGCCAACCCCAAGGGGGTGAGTGCTCTCTGGGCTTATTTTCGCATGGCTCACAGAGTGCTTAGTATGACTACTCGATGTATGCATCTTGTGGTCTGTTTCCTCCTGTGCGACGTGTTCAGTATCCACTATCATCTATCGAGGATTCCGAAGTTGTTTAACCTCGACCTCTTTCGCTGTATTCTATCCTCTTGCTGTTGTGCAAATCACCAATCATTCGCCGCACAATTCTCTGCGTTCGTTCAAGGTAAGTCTGACCCAGTCCGCAACTGTGTGTCGGGTGAGGGAGGCAGGGAAAGCCATTATGAGATATCTATGAGAAAGAAAGTATGTCATTCATGTGCGAAATGATCCCCTCAGAGTGTGCTGCCCCGTGCTTGCTCTCTCCTCTTGTGCTCGTACTCTCTGCTCTCTACCCTCTGCATGCGCAATCAATTAACACTCATTTGCTTACTACACACGACATGGGCAGTGTAGCCTGAAAAGTGGAATTGAAGTTTGTGAAGCACACAAATGCCTCATACAAGCTCACAAGTGCTACACAGGGCACTCAGCGTGCTCAAGAGCATCAAGCTCTTTGAATGAGATCATGCGCTATTATGGCCTATCAGTATATCAAAGTGAATAACAGGTTCTCGAGGACGGCCAGTGCTGTAAATACTGCTAAATACTTCCGAGCACTACGGATCCATTCAGGGGCGCTAAGCGCTCAGGTCGCTTGCTGACGGCTGACCGGCTGGAGCTTCGCTTGAATGCCCTGGTGTATATCTATCCCTCATTGGAGGTGCTTGGGTACGCACCGAGCACTTCCGGCTCTGGGAGACGCTTCAGGTGCTTTTCATCGTCTTGAGCGCCGCCATTTAGTGATGCTGACATTCGACAGATCTAGTCACGACTCACGAGTGCCATTGTGACCGGACGCGTAATGCCATATCACGCGTTATTCCCTTCTGCTCGTCTGCTATTACCCAACGAGGGGTTAGAAGTAATAGGAGGAGCCCAGGAGAGCGCCCGCGGCGGGAAAAAGATGATTGAACGTGAAAGCGCATTCTATTGTTTTCATCACTTCCGGGTGTGTATGTTACAGTACAATTGGAGTTTAGAAACCCGAGATAGTTCAGTAGCCCTCCTTCTCGGCAACGAACTTCATCAGGTCACAGACACGGCGAGAGTAGCCCCACTCGTTGTCGTACCACGCAATGATCTTGACGAAAGTATCATTGAGCTGGATGCCGGCCTTGATATCGAAAATGGACGAGGCAGTGTTGCCGGTGAAGTCGGTCGAGACGAGGTCCTCATCGGTGAAGTCGATGATGCCCTTGTAGTCACTAGCGGCTGCCTCCTTGACGGCGGCGACGATCTCCTCGTACTTGGCAGGCTTCTCCAGACGAACGACAAGGTCGACGACGGAAACATCAACAGTCGGGACTCGGAAAGCAAGACCACTAAGGAGATCAGCATCAGCTTCGCTTGGTAAGATGGACTTCACGCACGTGAGCTTGCCGTTGAGGGTGGGGATGACCTTTCCGACGGCCTTGGCGGCACCGGTGGACGAGGGGATAATGTTGTTGTTGACAGCACGTCCACCTCTCCAGTCCTTCATCGAAGGTCCATCAACGGTCTTCTGTGTTGCGGTCGCCGCGTGGATGGTGCTCATCAAACCCTCGACGATACCGAACTTGTCGTTGATGACCTTGGCAAGGGGAGCAAGACAGTTGGTCGTGCACGAAGCGTTGGAGATCTACAATGTTTGAGCACAGATGAATGACGCTCAGAAGCATGAGACGTACGACAGCGTGGCTGGGGTCGTAAGAGTCAAGGTTGACACCGACAACGTACATGGGGGCATCAGCCGAGGGGGCGGAGATGATGACCTTCTTGGCACCACCCTTCAAGTGAGCGGAGGCCCTGCACTACCGTCAGCACAAGGCCACGAAATAAGAGTCAGCACATACTTGTCAATAGTAGTGAAGACACCCTAAGCACATCGTCTATCAGCGATGATGTAGACACGAGAATATCTCAACTCACAGTGGATTCAACAACAATGTCGACACCGGCCTGGCCCCAGGCAATGACAGCAGGGTCCTTCTCACCGAAGATGGTGACAGGCTTGCCGTTGACAACAAGCTTGTTGTCCTTAAGCTCGACGGTGCCCTTGAAGCGACCGTGCACGGAGTCGTATTTCAACATGTAAACCTGCGCGACGACATCGATATCGCAACCTTGAGATCGATCGAGGGGTATCGCAACGTACCATGTACTCAAGGTGGATGAACGGGCTGAGGAGATTATTCAGCGAGTGTAGTGGGTCAGACCACAGACATGACTCACTCGTTGACGGCAACGACCTCAAGTCCTGGAACCTCAAGGGCATTACGGAAGACGAGACGACCGATACGACCTGCGATGGGTAGTTAGCTTCTGTCAGTATAGTCGGTACGATCTCCACGCACCGAAACTGGAAAAAAGATAGAATAGATCAGCGATCGAACGGGCAGAAAGACCCAGGATATGTACCCGTTGATTCCGACTTTGACCTGAACACTGATAAGAACGACATCCCCCAGGATGAGGAGCAACGGTTACGTACCATCGTGAGGATTGAGATGTGGTTGGTTAGGAGAGAAGAGAGTGATGCCCATTGGATGTTTGCGCCGGCTTTTATACGAAAAGACGGGTCATCCTTTTTCGGCGATAACTGTATCGATTTCGGCTGAACGTGCGATCCCCAAGCTTCCCACACGCTGGGCCACAGCCTTCTTCTGAACAGTCTCCGCCCGGTCTCGACAGCAACAACGTGCAAAATCCACCCTTCGATCGCCGATTCAGTCTATCGTGCATTCAACGCCGGCCAAGGCCAGGGGACTTCTAATTCCCGGCGATGCCAGGTAAAGCTTCGTCGCACCATATTCGGGGTCCCATTGGAGTCTTACTGATTGCTCACCCATCTACACCTTGCCTGGCCTGGCCGGAGCGCTGGGGCTGCTCCTGGCTTTTCCCCTTTAATTGCTGACTGAGCCAGTCACACCAATGACGATAGCGGCCGGTCGAGAACCTCGGTATCAATCTCATTCGCTGGCTCAAGTCGATGCCCGGCAGTGATATGTGCATTCTTGTCGACAGGTCGATGGATACGAACCGCCAAGCACAGTGGGAGATCTATCCAGAGAACCGACGAGAAATGGCCTTCCTCCGAACGATCGCATCCGTCCGCGGACAATGCCGAGTTGATAAGATAAAGATTAATGGGATCCAGCGCCAAAAATGAATAGCTGATCGGCGTTTGGAGGTTTGACGTCATCGTCAGTTCCTGAGATTCAGAATATGCGCCTTGAAGAGCGTAGTCCGCCAGATTTTGACAAAGAGAGAGCGCGAACGAGAGTAGCAAGATAGTAACCTACTCGCCGGACGCGTGTCAGATCAAAATAATCAGCTTCTGCGGCTCGAGAGCTGTGTGCAGATGCATGCCTCCCTGCCAACCCGGGAAAGTCTCGGAGAAGTGCCAAGTAATGAAATATCGAAGATCTTCAAGTTTGCATGTTCCCCGAGAAACTCCTCGTGAGGACAGCGAACTTACCAAGAATCTTACTCAGGCATATCGTGACCTCTCTGTTCACAATCAAAGAGATCTGTATCGGATGCACAGTTCATACAGAAATACACAGGAGACTTGCTTGCAAGCTAGTAGTGTAGGAAAGTAATCTGAATTTTAACGATGTACAGGACCCACAAGTAAGAGCATTTTGGTATTTCCCACTGGACGCTCAATGAAAATTTCCCGGTGAAAGTCACCTGAACATAAGAAAGCGGCGGAGGGCAGTCCAGCCAATCGTGATAGACAGAGATGCCTGTCTTCTTTGTGAAGGGCAGGGTCCAATAAAGAGGATGGGGCTGTAAGGTTTCATTCTCCTTAGAACAGGCAGCACTGTCCTCGAGTTCATTATCAGAATTGGACCATTAGATGTGTGAATGGGAGAGACGTGAGTCTGGGCCGTCTCAACATCACGAGGGCTCGGGCCTAACGGCCTCTCCCACGGCTGAAATCAGAGAAGACATCCGCGACCAACTTCGCGATCGCTACGGCCAAAGTATAGGCTGAACTTTAGCGGGGGAAGGCTAGCCGATGCTTCCTGTTCGGGAAGAAGATTGTAGCCATCCGTCATTCAAATTAGTCATCTTCTAATATAGTCAGGGTAGCGTAGGATGATGTTTGCATGAACAAGAAATCATAGATTCTGCCACAAACAGATGAATGGGTATCCCGACAAGAAGATACACCCGACACCCGAACGTCGTCTGCAGCTTGCCAAAGAGTTGATCTGTGGCTGACAGGAAGCGTATCGCGTACTATCGGCCAGGGTTGGACGAGGCTGAAATCACCAAGCTCCAAGACTAGTATGAAAGCAAAGCTCGACGCGTTCCCATCGAATGTCAGTGTAATTAACAACAGGTGGCGGCCATGGAAGATCAAGCCTGGTTGCACACGGGAGTAGCAGAAGAGATCTGACCCCAACCCCGCGACCAATCACTCACGTGCTGCTGCCTAGTCACACATAATTACATCGAGTTCCACCGCTTGCCAGAAAGACCGTCCGCAAGGTATTGCTCATCGTTCTATCCATCCTTCCCCGCTGACATCCTTTCAGATCAAGATGGGTATGCCTTTTCTCTGCGCTCCTCCACTAAACTCACCAAAACGATCCTCCAGTCAACCTTCGCTCTCAAAAACGGCTCGCCGCTTCCGTCAAGGGCGTCGGCCAGCGTAAAATCTGGCTGAATCCCGCGGAGCAGTCCGAGATTGCCAGCGCCAACTCGCGCTCCCACATCAAGAAATTGATCAAGGACGGCGACATCATTATCAAGCCGACTACTATTCATTCGCGCGCACGGACGCGGGCGCTCCTTGCTGCAAAGAGGAAAGGACGTCACACTGGCCCGGGTAAGAGGAAGGGTACTGCGGAGGCTCGTATGCCGACGAAGGTGTTGTGGATGCGGAGACAGCGTGTGCTCAGACGGTTGCTGCGCAAGTACAGGGAAGCTGGGAAGATCGACAAACACCTGTGCGTCGGCCTCTTGATCGGTCTTGATATGTGCTAATTGAATGTTACTCGCAGCTACCATTCCCTGTACCAAAAGTCGAAGGGTAACGTCTTCAAGAACAAGCGAGTGTTGATGGAGTACATCCACAAAGCTAAGGCTGAGAAGAGCCGAACCAAGGTTCTCACTGACCAGATGGAGGCGCGCCGTGTTAAAAACAAGGTATGTCACTCGCTCATCCCCTCGACCTCACGTTCTGACTGCTAACAGGCTGCTCGCGAACGTCGTGCTGCTCGCATCACCGAGAAGCGGTCGGCATTTTTGGCCGTGGAGGAGGGTGCCGTCAAGGAGTAAATTCCCCATGTCCCGTCTACTCATGTCGTATCATGCCTCGTTATGTATCCTTTTTTCATGCATCCATCAACACACAATTCTGGTATTAGGCGAACTGAGGACCGTCTGCGCTCTTTCAGATACGCATTGCACTGCCGGCGGATCAGGGTGCTCCAAGTGCCCGTTATCCTCTTGAATAGATGATGTACAAAGTAGAAGTGCACTACTCGCAAATTCGATGAGCATAGGGACGATAGGGGACGATTGTTAGCCTTCAGAATCGATTTTAACTGATCTGCATATGTACTTGCTCAGCTGCACAAGTGCCTGCTTGTCGGTGTTTACGAACGGCTGTCCCGGTACCGAAGTGACTCAAAAGATCAGTCACGTTCTGATCTGGTCACCTAACGGCTTTTCCTCCCCCACCACAACGACACCATGACTCCGGCAACATCCAAATCCAATTCTCGTGCATCTCGATCTCACCGACGCCGCTCTCACAAAGCAAAACATGGGAATGGTCTCTTCCCTTCCTCGCAGGCGGCCCGGTTACACAAATTGCGATCGCGCCTCGCTCCCAGTGCATCATCCCAAGCACAACCCCAAATACCCTTGAACTCGTCATTCCTGATGGGACTTAGTCTTCTCGAAACGCAAGACATTACTCCAGACAGCATGGCTCAACTCGTGCATGAGCCCTCCCATATATCCTCCTCGAAATATCCGACCCACCTCCACATGTCTGCCCCGGCATCGGAAGACTCATCCATCGAGCCCTGGTTAGGAGGCCTAGCTCTTTTAGATGCAGACGATATCACTGTAGACACCATGGCCAATTTGGTCGACGGCCCACCACCACCATCCCACTCGACGAAATTGCGCATGGCTCATCAGCTGTCTTCATCACCGTCCCACCATACTGAACATCCTTCAGGTCAGACGTGGCTCCCCGCTCTGGCCCTCATGGATGCCGACGACATCACCCCCGACGCCATGGCCAGCCTCATTCATGGCGCTTCTAATCCAGGTTCTTCACCACAAGCTCCTCCCCGTAAGGCCCATCGACGGCGGCCATCGCGTAGGACGCGGTCCCGCCGTGCGCTTGCTGTCAGGCAGGCGCAAGCACAGCCCCGATTGGAACAAGACGAGGATTCAGGTCTGTCCTGGCTAACAGCTCTGGGATGCCTGGACGCTGACGAGATCACGCCCGAGGCTATGGAGCAGTTGTCTGGTCGGCCCTCAACAATGAAGCGGCGCCGCTGGAGGAAGCGACCCACAAAGGTGACCCGGCTCACTCGTGCGCTGGGTACCAAACGCCTGGACGTTTCAAAGGAAAATGTCCCACTGTGACGTTTATCTTCTTTGGCCAGATATCGTGTTCCATGATCTGCTTTGCTTATGCACAGACTCAGGAGTTCTGCAGGCCTTCGCACGAACCTTGTCCCGTCTGGTTACGCATAATATTTCGCTGTGGTGTGTCTCTTTCACCAGTTTCTTATATTCTATACATACATGTACCAATTATGTCCTGTGGCCGTTCCTTCTCCCGTGCGGCCACGGAGAGCTGCAATACAATGTAAACAAACCCTATGACGATGTCTGAGACACGGGAGAACTACTCATGCAAGGCTGTGAAATCAGAGTCAAAGACTATACATATGACGCTGGAGAATACACGCGCATAATAGTTATACTACAGACAAGAAAGTAAAGATAATAGAGGACAATACTGCCCGCTCGAGAGGTGAGTATAAGGAAAATAGTACAGAAAGGTAGCAGGCTCAAGGGGTAGGTGGCACTTCGTTTTTCTTCTGATTCTTTGGCAATGTCAAGCTCCTATGAATGAAGGGAAGGACACCTCCGCCTGCGATTGTCGCTTGAACAAGTGTGTCCAGTTCTTCGTCTCCTCGTATCGCCAGTTGAAGGTGGCGAGGAGTGATGCGCTTGACCCGCAGATCTTTCGACGCGTTGCCTGAAGAGTGATCCGTCGTGAGCTGAAAGAAGGCTCGAGCGAGAGGAGATGCACGCACCGGCAAGTTCCAGTACCTCAGCCGTCAGATACTCCAGGATCGCGGTGGTGTACACGGCAGCTTTGGCACCGATGCGGACGCTGTGCTGGGTCCGGGCTTTGAGGTATCGGTGGATACGGCCTACAGGAAACTAGAATGGTGCCCAGATATTCGTAGGTCAGTTCGGACGTCGCAGCAGAACGAGCACTCCCGCAGCGCACCTGTAGACCAGACTTTTGGCTCCTCGTTTGCATGACACGCGTCTGCCCATTGGTTCCGGTTGGAGCAGCAGCGCCTGCTGCATGCGCTTTCCCTCCAGTCTTAGCGGCGGGCGCCATGATGAGATCGTCTGGAGCCGAGAATGTGTGGCGACGAAGATGTTTGGGCTTGAGAAAGTCTTAGCGTATCGCAGAGGCTGAGCTTGCGAGCAACGGTGGCAAGATTCTATGGCCTAGAAAGTCGTCCAAGAAATTGTCTCAGATATGAGGACACGAGACGGCACCGGAAGAACGCACCCGAGAACGCGTCGGTGTTGAAATCAAACTTGGAAGCGGGCTGTAAACGACAGCAAATATGGATCCCACTTCCCACGCTCAAAGTACAGTACAGATTTCCGCTCAGGTCGAGGGATATGTTTTCATGGCCGCAACTACCAATTTAGCCACGAATGCTACTGAACCTACCTGGGACTTTTCGCTGGCTGACCTCGATACAGCCCACAGTTTAGGTAAATCCCAAAAGTCGTTATGCTTGGCAAAGTATCGAGTGGAGCGCACTGATGAATTTCACTCGCAGATGATTATGAGTGGGCTGACAGCCATTCTCTAGTACATAAATCTAATGCTCTATCGGATCCAAACTAGCTGTTGTCGTCGCGGCCCCTGAGATACTCCGCAGTCTCTGCTTTTGCTCTCCACGCTGAACCTTTGAGCTTGACTAACCATATCTGCAATCCGACTATGATCAGAATCGCAGTCCATATGGTGTACAACCAACCTGGAGATGAATCAGAGATGTGGATGGGAGATGTCAATTTGAAAAACACGAACCATCCCCAATAGAATCTTGCAGTGGCACTGCTACCTCGATGGCCACGAAGGCGAATACGCCCCGGAATGCGCTGTTCGTCGCCACTGCAGTCGAAGAACGGCCGTTGTTGGCGTCGACGATGTAGGCGAGAGTTGACGTGTAGGCCCAGATGCCGAACGCGCCAGACAGGAACAGGAACACGCACATGGCAGACACGTGGACGTGTTTGGCAGACACCCATCCGAATGCCACAACAGAAGGCGGCAGCAATATCAGACCGAGCTTTGTGCTCTCTAGTCGCATTTCCGGATCGCTCTTGCCACCATTTGCTGCTTTGAGCTTGGCCAGAATGATATCGGACCATTTGCCGCCGAGAACACTGCCAGCGAGATTCCCTGTGCATGCGTTAGGCCAATCACGAAAACATAGAGGAGCAGAGGAATGTACCCAATCCAAACGAGAGCAGAACCAAGCCGACTTTGAGTGCGTTGTATCCATATGCTGAGCTCAGCGTCCGAGAAGCGGTGAAGACCACCGAGAAATTGTATGCGAACATAAGCCCAGACGCGAAAAGCGTGACAAAGTTGTTGGGTCGCTTGAGAACAAGCCACAACGGTTGGGCTGGGTTGACATCCAGCAGCGACAGCTTGATATCCGACATACCAGCTGCGCCACCGGATGGCGCAAGTTCAGCCTGCTTCTCCGGATCATCTGACAATGTCGCTGGCTGCTTCTCGACGGCAGCGACGGTAGCACTGGAAGCAGACATTGACTTTAATCGTCTCTTCAGCACGCTCTGGTAGGTCAAGCTGCGCTCCCGGCGGAACGTGTCTCGGAAAAACAGTGCAATAGAAGCGCAGCTGGATCCCGACACAATCACCAAGAAATAGAAGGGCGCCCGCCAATTGAACCCCGTTGTTAGTACACCTCCCACAATCGGTGCGAGACTGGGCTGCACAGATCATGGTCAATTGTGTGTTGGCAAGAAGGAAATAAAGCTCACCCCAAGGAGAGGAGCTATATAGTAGATTCCCATCTGAGAGAGAGCCGTTGATACGGTTGTCAGATAGCGTACGCAAGACGAACCTTTGTTCCTCGTTCAGCCGGATCGAAGATGTCTGCCAGTGTCGCTGCACCGATGGCCATAACAGCACTCGATCTATTGCAACGTTAGACCAAACGGCAGTCTGACTGGTCAGAGACGCACCCCATGGCCTGGAAACACCGGAACACAATGACACTGGAGAGACGTCGATCAGTTCCGGACGCCGGCGACAAAGCGTAACCAGACAGACAGTGTTATCGTTTTACTCGTTGCAACAATCACCGATGCCACGGTGAAGATAGCCAGAGAGGTCACATAGACAATCCTCCGGCCGTATATCTCGCTGATGGCCGTCCAAACCAGCGGCATGAATCCTTGGATAAGGATGAACAGACTGATGGATAAACTGACTTGAGACACAGTCGCATGCAGTTCTGCTTCCATGTCCGCAATAGCCGCTACATGGAGTCAGCATACTTTGGCGGTGTCCATGACAGAGGCGCGCACGATTCTGGATATTCGCTGCCAAGCCTGCAATCAGAGACGCAGACGCTATAAGCGAGAATACGACGTTCTAGCACACATCAAACCGAGACTCGCGCCCTCGAAAATAACAACGCACCTTGCGAAACGGCGACCAAGCCCTTGGATCATCCTCCACCGGCATATGCTCGATATCGAAGGGTTCATGATTCACCGGTTCTGCAGTTTCATTGGTGTGAGACGATGCCGCGAGAGTCCGTTGTGTCTCTGGAGTGTGTACGTTTGCAGCAGCGGTCGACATGCGTGCCCGGGTCCCGGGTGTGGGGTAAGGCCGTGCCCTCTTGAGCAACAGTCAATGTCTTTATTTAAGCCATCGGGGCTGGAAACCGAAAGTACCGATGAATCCTCGAGATGGTGACGGCGTGCCGTGGTCGGCCGATACGCTTCATCCTGAGTCCGCTGATATGACTGCCTCGTGCAGCAAATAGAAACGAGGTGCAGGGATGCGGTCTGGCTGTGCCATTGAACTGGGCAGCATCGCTTCTGAGAACGGTGTCCCTCTGGAGTGGAAGTGATATGTGCGGTGGCTGTCACCGCACTCGGTGGAAGAGCTGTATGATCGAGGAGCGAGAGATGGAGGCTTGGTCAGCGGGTGTGCAAGTAGGTAGATTACCGGTGCGGTCCCAATGAGGAACAGCCGGTGTTGCAAAAAGTGACACCGCTGGTCTCGCCTATCACATGCTGGACTGTTCGATTGCTTGCTGTACTATGCAGGCGCTCTCCAAGTACTGAGCTTATAGCTTCTTGATCAAGGCAAACTGCAGTCGTGTTGAAGGCGACGTATCGTCAGCAATGGGACCGGATTTCAAAGTTTGAAGTCCAAGCCGGGGTCTTGAGCTTCAAGGTTACTTCCGGCGCGTCGACAATTCACGTTCCAGTCGCAGTCACCCCCGATGTATGGCCATGATCCTGCGTAGGCCCTCGTTTCCACTGAGCACGGAGGGTACTGGCTCATGACGTACGGTTTTCGGAATCTCTGTCCGACGTTCATCGACCGAATGCATGAATTACTAATGAGGCCCCTGCTCATGCGCTACCATCCCATATAAATAGGTCCAAAAGACATGATACTAATACTAATACAACTTCGCGAATGCCCTTGATCCATGAGTATGAACGCTCTTGGTCCTATCCGGACAGACGGGCATCTGCACAGTGCAGAGTTATAAATAATGGTGAGACACGGGCAGAACTCTCCGGTACATCCAGCTCCGCAGCTATTCCTTGCTAGCAGTGGTATTCAAGACTTGAACGGCTCGGCTCCTGCTCCGACGGCATCAATTGATGACGTCGGGTGGAAGCGCCGCCCACTACTCTTCATTTCCTGGTATCTTCCTGTTCGCGATCTCTTCTTGGCTGTGGACGCCCTACACATCGGTACCGCTAAATCCCTTGCAAATTGGTCTGGTGATGGCGCGGCTTCACGTCTCATGGACGACATGTTCAGACAAATCGACAAGTAGCCGTCAGCTAACTGGAACGCAGCAGAAACGCGTTTCAAAGACGTGTCAGACGCGTTTTCTTCATAAATTGGACTAAGGCAGAGTCATTCACTGCCATTAAAGACCAAAATTTGCTTGCAAGTGCCCATTCAGACACGAACGCTCACTCGACTTTCGTCGTTTCTGACAATGAGTCAAGAGAGATCGTCGCCGAATACTTGCCTGCCTGGATCTGCCGAAAGTCTCCCCTACAGGAAGGACCCACTACGACTGCTTTCGTGATCATGAATATCATCTGTTCAACGTGCATACCTATGAATGAGTGCAATCCAAGCGACATTCAGTCCGCATTTCATACGCTTCCTTCGTGTTCCAATCGGAGAAAACATTTCGGCCCCCATGTCAAACACACTGCTCGCGTTGTCAGCCAGGTCCCATCGATGCTTCTCAATTGCGCTGCGACGATCACTCAATTTCTCGCAACTCTGCTTAAGTATGCTCCCCGATCTGAAAGACCCCGACACGAACAAACAGAAGCTTCTGCGACACCAACCATATAGTCATTACATCCGAGGTCGTGCTGGCGTCAGAGACAAGTGAACGGTGTATGTTGTCGCTCGGTGGGGGTGGCCCGTACGTGTCTGAGTTGAGTTTACAATCTGTCGACCCTTCCTTGATTCCGTTGCGAGATAGGGTTGGTTGCGCACATGATCGTGAATGGTGGTATGCGTGGTATGATCGCAGGATCTATGGACGAGTGCGATGGTCCGGGCTGCACATGCGAGCCCAAAAGACCGGCGGGGATAGGTCCCTTCCACCCTCTATGCTAGTTTCAGCTGAGCCTCTCCAAGTATTCAGAGTTAGCTACTATAGACGGCGAAGAAGAACTGCAGCAGATAAGGTGCGTCTCCTGCAACAAGATATCACAGTTCTAACCGACTACGGCCTCGCTAGGTGTAGATGTGTTGTTTACGTGGGTGATATGATATATCTTTGGTCCACGCAGGCCTCATTTTGCTATTTTCTCAGTGTGGAATTATGCCCTGGAAAGCGGCCTGAACACTTTTCCAGACCCTTGGTCTTGCCTGTCTTACACTGCAGGTCGCGAATGTACTCGACCACCGGCTGTTGCTTCTATACGACTTCTCACTCGTGGATGGTCTGCAGTCATTAAAGTATACTTGAGAGTTCTCAGATCTAGGAGCAATTTCCTGCCACTAGATCTCGAGTCGACCGAGTACTATCTCCCCATATTCCTGGATCAATTTTATCATTAGCACTATAAGTACATGACTCAATTCGGATTTTCCGATGCAGATACAACCCAATTCCGGATCCTCCATCCTAGCAGATGATCTGGCCCGGCTTTCTTACGCCCGCCAGAAAAGGCGCGTTTTTACGCGACTATCGGTCGCCCATGAATGTCATATAGAAGGCCTCGCGCCGCGCCGTCGCGGGATGGATCGGTAACAAGAACAGGAGAAAGCTCTCGGCTGAACTGTCACAAGTGACGTCAAAACGGCCGCCTACCCGGTCATGACCTGCCTAACCTCGGTCGTTTATCAACTTCCACCAACCAGATGCGGCTGGGATCTCTTCTCAGGCTCACCAGTCACTCCATAACACCACCACTACACCCACACTCACATATCGTCCGCAGAATGGCCAGCGCTCAAGCCTCCGTTGTGCGTCATTAACACCAACCGGCAGCGACTTGGTCCATTCACATCGCTCCTGCATTTAGTTCGGTCTGAAGGATTTCTCACTCGTGAAAACTCAGGCGTTCATCGGCGGGCAATGGTTAGACGCGAAGAGTGGAGAGACCATCACGGTGACGAGTGCGCCACACCCGCCGCCCTGTTCTCAGTGGACAGATGCTCATCCGTGGCTTTAGACCCTGCTACGGACGAAGTTTTGGGCACGGTTCCCGAGATGGGTCTTGCAGAAACAAAGGAGGCGATCGAGGCGGCACAGAACGCGTTTCCCGATTGGAGTCGCACAACACCCAAAGTCCGTTCGATTACATTCTCGTATCCGGAAAGCCCTGTGTTGACCGGGGTTGACTGTCCAGACACGGCATGATATCTTGATGAAACTGGCCGCGCTCATGGAGGAGCACGGTGACGATCTCGGTCGGCTCATCGTGCGTGGAGCCAATCAGTATTTGGCCGAATCTCTGATGTGTTCGGCGGTTTAGACTCTCGAGAATGGGAAGACTCTCGCAGAAGGCAAAGTGAGTGTCTTTCCGCTTGCCACGCACGCCGATATCTCATCAGAAATCCAGGGCGAGAACGTCTACAGCGCATCGTTTGTCGAGGTCTGTGTTCGATCTCACCATGACCCACGATGCGACTAACGTGTCATGCAGTGGTTCGGTGCGTCTCTTGCTTCTCATTCTTGGGGAAGTTCAGTCGCACGACTGAGCACACATGATCGACAGCGGAAGAAGCCGTCCGGACGTACGGAGGTTAGTCGCAGATATTTTCGAAGAATGTCCTTCTTTCAACTGGATGCAGAAACCATCCCATCTCCATTCCCCAATGTTCGCAATGTGACCATCCAACAACCTGTCGGTGAGTTCTGGAGGGAGTTGCTGATCATCCTATCTGACCGACTTGCACAGGCGTTGTGTGAGCATCAGAGGCTTTCCCTACGAATAGGATCTCAGTTCCGCGTCTTTAGTGCGATCCTTACACCGTGGAACTTCCCGTCGGCCATGATAACTCGAAAGTTGGCTGCAGCTTTGGCCGCAGGCTGCACGAGTGTCATCAAGCCCCCACCCGAAACCCCCTTCTCCTGTCTTGCTCTGGTTGAGGTATGTATCAATAAAAACAGTTTGTATTGCAGAAGCTTATCCGCTCAGCTCGCCCGTCGCGCCGGTGTTCCTGACGGTGTCATCAATGTTGTTACTACTCAGAAAAATGTCGCCGAAGTCGGGAAGGAGCTTTGTGAAAGCAAGATCGTGAAGAAAGTGACGTTCACTGGGTCGACGCCTGTTGCCAAATTACTGACCGGGATGGCCGCTTCGACATTGAAAAAGTGAGCAACCTCTGTGAAACTTGCAACTACTAAACGTTCCGATAGAGTTTCCATGGAAGCAGGAGGAAACGCGCCCTTCATTGTGTTCGATGATGCCAATATTGACGAGGCTGTTGCTGGTTAGTTTCTGAGGACGCCATTGACAGTAGCTGACTGTGCGCCCCAGCTGCCATCGTTTGCAAATTCCGTGGCACTGGTCAGACATGTGTTTGCGCAAATCGGATGTTCGTGCACTCATCTGTGTACGCTGAATTCGCCTCTCGCCTGGCTGAGAAAGTGGCCACATTCAAGGTCGGAAATGGGTTGGATGAGAGCTCGTAGGTTTCTTTCCGTAAAGCTGCTTGCGGATTCTCATTTCTGTTTCAGAACCCATGGCCCGCTGATCCACTCACGGGCAGTAGAAAAGGTCCAGTCCCATGTCGATGATGCGGTTGCTCGGGGTGCTCAGGTCCTTGTTGGTGGCTCCTCGGTTCCTGGCACTTCGACATTTTTCGAGCCCACCGTCCTGAGCGATGTCCCCTCCACCGCGCTGATCAACACGGAAGAAACGTTCGGCCCTATCGCTGCCTTGGTGAAGTTTGAGACAGAGGAGGAGGTCATCAGGATGGCCAATGCGACTGATTTTGGGCTCGCTGGGTACTTCTTCTCGAGAGATGTGGGACGAGTCTGGCGTGTTGCAGAGAAGCTTGAGGTGGGAAGTAAGTCCTGTGTCTTACCCTGTCTAGAACTCCTGCTTATGTCTGCTAGTGGTCGGAACCAACACCGGACTCATCAGCCAAGCTGTGATCCCGTTCGGTGGTATCAAGGAAAGTGGACTGGGTCGTGAAGGAGGTCACGGAATCGCAGAGTATATGAACACCAAGTTGATCGTGTTCGGAGGCTTGGCTTGAGGGACTCACACTGTACCAAATCCTCACGTTTCAAATGTATGCAAACAAGTTTCCGTCATGTGCACGGTCCGATATGCGCTGTGTTATTTACTCGGAACCTATCGGAGACTACAGCCCTGCACTCCAGACACTCCGTCCGTCTGAGGTAAATCTCTCGCGCAGTACAGCGAGCTTGGATCGATATTCATCGACTCCGATGTAGGCACCGCACATTCTGCGCTTGCCGGTGAAGGAGGATCGTCCGTGCAATACTCGATGATTATCGATGACTACGTAGACCGAGTCAGCCAGCGCTTAGACGGCAGGAAGTTAGACCAGGGCGACTCACTGACGGCGGTACCAGGATGCAGCTGCACCCAATACTCCGAGTCGGCGCTTGACAGTAGTTTGTGCCATGTCCGGATCGCTTCATACCACGCCTCGACCAGATAGGGGTCCAGATGGTTCATCACGCTCCGGTCGTCGTTGTTCCATCGTACTTGCACCAGCTCACCCGTGACAGAATCGTGGCTGAGCACCGGATATCCCGACGGTGGCGATGGCTGATAGAACTCATTGGCTTCTCCAGCGGCGTGGGCAGGAATCGGCGTGGAGGACAAAATTTGGTGCGCTTCGGGGTGCAGTTCCTTCAGGATCGACGCGACGTAGAACCCGTCAACGAGAAGTGTGGAACCGCCGGTGCCCTCCGTATGAGAAAGGAGATGGAAGAGCTGCAGGCCTGACGGGTCGGTCTTGATGCGAGTGTCAGTCCTGGACCATATGATAATCGATGGGCACAAACAAGGTATGTATTGTCAGTGTGAGCTCCTAGTCCCAATGTGGTGTAAGCCGTGTCTCCTGTGTAGAAAGGTCAGAACCATCGAAAGCTCTAATCGCAGCTATAACCTTTGGCAAGGTCTGACGTAAAGTCCCAGAATTTCCCGTCTGGGGTAGTCAGACGTTAATTCACCAAACCGCGGCACAGATGTACTCACACTGAGTTTCCCTGATGAATCCGATTCGTTGTGCCAACTCCTCCGTCGCCTCTGGCGTTGGCGGCACTCCTTGAACGAAACAAAACCCGAACTGGTCCTAGGAGATGTTCAGCTCCGTCGCTGAGATTTGAACGTAGAAACACACGACGTAGGAAAGCCATTTGTGCAGGCCTCGATCGTCTGCGGCCATAGCTTCTTCATATGTTACAGTTGGTGGAGTGGTCAGTATCCTTGAGCCCCAGATGATCTTTTCGTTGTGTTGTCGAGAGACGAGTGGCGGGTCATATGAATTGGTTCGAAGCCAGGACCAAGGGTAGAACGAAGTGTGAGGTTTGGAGGAGGGCCCTAATCAATGTCAGAAACCGCATCCAACGCTTCAGGTGACGGAAACACACAAGATACTTGCAGGCCTTCCGGAGTAGCGTCGGCCTGGGATGGGGTGATGTCAGGAGGTATCTAGCGAAGAACATCTATTAACTACAGGCAAGTCGAGTGGAGGGGGTGGATCGGACCTCGAATGTATTGAGCAGGCGCTGCTTCGTTATCGGTTGGAAGCATTCCGAACATCGACAATGGTCTCTTAACCATATGTTGTGACTGATCGAAAGTTAGGAATTGGTTCTCGAGGAGAAAGACAACCGCACTATCGAGACCAGGTTCTAGTGTCCCACCCCACTGCGACCTTGCGTTCATCCAGGCTAACGACTGGTAGGTCATCGGCTCCATCTTCAGTCGTAGAAATGTTGTTAGGTGTGGCTGCCGCAGTGGCTGCTGATGGAGTATGACGCGCCGGTAACGTACTGAATCCGCGATAGCACTGTCTCAAGCTTGAGGTCATGTTGCATTGATAGGTAGTCGGCGGCATACGGTCATCTTGGAGAAGGCGCGGAGCGACATCACAGATCGTTCCCGAACTAGGGGAGGGAACTTGAGCATCTTGTCGTGCGGCAGGGCGGCGAGACAAGTGCAGAAGAACGGGGCGGGAGTTCGGCAACTCGAGCGGCGTCGACCAATCTAGACTTTGTCACTGGTCCACACATGTGACGTCACGTCCTATCCCGGTACCTTCGCGAGCTCCCATCACCAGGATGCTTAATCATGAATCATCGAATGAGAACGCCTGCCTTGGAAATTAAGCCTTGGTCAAATCTGTTTACCATCGGCCTTGATGCTGAAGCTGGTTACGCGTTCTTGCCGGGCGGGTCGAAAGGCCAACGCAAGCTTCTTGCCGATAGCTCAGTCCAAATATAAAACCCCGGCCTCACCAACATCGAAGTCACGATCTCTTGAATCTTACCACAACCATGTCAGCACCCAAGAAAATGACCTACGTTCGTTTGGGCTCTTCTGGGCTCAAAGTATCCAAGATAATCTTGGGATGCATGTCCTACGGCGACCCCAAATGGATGGGGACTTGGGTGTTGCCAGAGGAGGAGGCTGAGAAACACATCAAGGCGGCATACGATGCTGGAATCAATACTTTCGATACAGCCAACGTGCGGGCTTTCCCTCTTGTGTGTCCAATTACTGACGGGCCTCTGCCATTGCTTAGGTGTACTCGAACGGTCTCTCGGAAGAGATTCTTGGACGCGCGATCAAGAAATATAACCTCCCGCGTGATGAAATCGTTGTCATGACCAAATTGTTCAGTCCTGTTGGAAAGAATGGAGAAATGACCTTCACAATCCCCGACCCTGATGCCGCAGGATTCGTGAACCAGCATGGGCTGAGCCGAAAGGTGTGAGATATTGTCGAGAATTCAGAAGCTTGACTGAGTCGCACTTTAGCACATCTTCGACTCGGTCAAAGCTAGTTTGAAGAGATTGGGGCTCGACTATATCGATCTCTTCCAATGTAAGATTCAGGTCTCCGCCCCGCTAGGAGCCACGACTCACAAGCTGATTGACACAGGCCATCGCTTTGACCCTCAAACACCGATCGCGGAGACTGTAAGCAGAGTGCTGTGACTCCTCGGCAAGATTCTGATGATCGACTAGATGCAAGCTCTCCCATGATGTCGTGAAAGCTGGCTATTCTAGTCCGATACATCGGCATGTCTTCTTGCTACGCATATCAGTGTGAGCCCGTCGTTTCGTTCTTGATCTTTTGTATTCACTCCAAGCCAGTCCAAGCAATGCAGAATTACGCGATTAACAACAATCTGACGCCCTTTATCTCGATGCAGAACCACTATTCGCTGCTCTACCGCGAGGAGGAACGTGAGATGATGCCCACTCTCAAGGTGTGTAATCCAAATTGCCCAATACCTGGCGATTGACCTGAATCTGTGCAGCACTTCGGTGTCGGCTCCATTCCATGGTCTCCTCTAGCGCGTGGTGCTCTAACTCGTCCTCTTTCTTCTCAACAGACTGCCGGGGCACGACTGATCTGTGAGAAAGATTTACAGCTAATGGCATATTGCATCTGACTTGAAAACAGAATGAGTCCCGCACTGTACACCAATCAGCTGCGAATCAGAACATCGTCAAACGCGTCGAAGAGCTTGCCGCAAAGTACGAATGCAGCATGGCTCAAATAGGGTTGCATGGGTTTTTGAACAAAGATCCGGTCTCGGCTCCCTATCGGGACTACGTCGTTGAAGAATCTGGAGGACATCCTGGGTGAGTCCTACAAATCATCTTCTGATCTTCTCATATGTTCCTGGGCAGGTGCTGTAAATCTCAACTGACCGCATGAAGACGTTAAGTATCTTGAGGAGCCTTATTGCCGATGTCTGTGCTTGGACACTAGTGAATGGTATTTGTTTGCGATCTTCACCCCCAGAATGAGGTTAGATCAAACGCCATC